CACTTCCAGAGACAGTTGTAAGCACTGTGTAACTGCCTCGAGGATGCGTGACCATTTTAATACAACGAAAGGGGCGGGGAGGTGTTATTTCAACCCCAGATGATAGATGCATATGTCACTGCCAAGAGTTGTGAGATCGTCGTTCCCCTGTCAAAAACGTTAGGATGGGCAATTGATGGATATACTGCTGTAGCTCTCAATCACAACAGCAGTCTCTCGTTCGTTCCATGTCGTGTCTTCCCGCCTACCAAAAGTTGGCCTAAACTGCTGGAAGATCTACAATCGCAGAGAGAGAGGCAGTCATTTGTCTTTCCGCTCCACCGGGGAACGGGGGACCAATTGGATTCGTAGGAGGGCGCAGTTTTATGATGGCATCATCCACGGGCCGCGTGTGTGTGTGTATGAAGAGAGGGGCAAAGCACCCCACGCAAGTTCATATTCGCATCCCGTGCCCAGAGGCAACAACAACAGGGTGGTGGCACGTCTGTCTCGCATACGTCTTTCGTGCGGAGCATGTTTATAGTTCTTGCGGCGATAATATGATCTCGGTCGCCCGCTACAACAAAAATGGTTGCAAATCTCTACCGTGTGTTGGACACTACAAACACACGGAAGGAGCCAAGCACTGCTGCTGTCTGTCGACGAGCGGGAAGAGGCGAAGGACGGACCGACTCCTGCTGTGCGAGAAGCAGGGGACACACCTACAGCAGTCAATACATGCATACGTAACAGGGGACACACCTACAGCAGTATATACATGCATACGTTGGTAGGCTGTGCGGATAAGAATGGGAACGCGGACCGCCGGGGCGTCTTTGGTTCTTGCTTGCTACGTATAAAAAAAAGGCACATCAACACCAACTGCATAGGCGAACAAGATTGAAATTAGCCCTCCTCCAGCCCTTGTTCTTTTCGCTGCCCTGCTGCTGTGGCAGACCAGGTGGCTACGAACACGCATGCTGCATCGCTGTCGCCTTGCTTGTAAGCAACTAAGGTGTCGTGTGGCGCAAGGTACGCCCGTTTGTGCAGCCGCAAATTTTGTTCGGTCTGGAAGAATACGAATACTTTCCCAACACCTGCTACAACAAGTAAAGGTAGTAAAGGTAGTAAAGGTAGTGTAGCATGCGGACTGCTGGCGTGCTGGCGTGTGTTCGTGTGCATGTCTCGTGTGGTGGCTGGAAATATCAAATATCATGATGACTCTCTTTTCCGCCTTGCAGTTGAGGAACGGATGCCGATCCATGCGACTACTGCGGCGGAGAGACAAGGCTGAGCGCCGAGCATGCTGGGAGCTCTAACAGCCACGAGACGTGAAACACCGCTTTGCCGCGGCAGCCGCAGTCTGGCAGAAGATGGGGACTCAAAAAGGGGGCTGTCACAGACAAACAGACGGCCAACACGAGGCTAATGACAGTCGTGGGGACGAGAATGCCCTGCAGGACACAAACTCCTGCTTCGTATACGAGAGAGGGAGAGGCAAGGGCATGGTTGGGCAAAGTAAAACACAGCCGCCTCATTCTCCCTCTCTCTCTCTCTTGTTTCCACCTCGCACCCTGCACTGCTCTAGCTCTTGAACACAAGCAGCTTATGCACTTTCTGCTGTGGGTGTCCACGCTCGAGTGTAATCGAAATAAAAATAAAAATTGCGGATTCTGGTGGTTCAACTCCTGGGCACACACACGAGGTCGCCTCCTCCTCCCCCTCCTCCTCCCCAGCCTTCTCACCTGCGGATGGCTCGCGTCGAAGGCCGTGGTAACCACCTGATCCAGCAGAGCCACGTCCATCGGCTGGGAGAAATCCATGAGCTTTGCCGCGGCCGCCTCCATTTTGGACCACCCCTCTCTGTCTCGTCAACTGCTGCTGTGTGGCAAAATCCCGTGACGCCTATGTGGGGCTTTCCGCCTTCGAAGGGGAGTCCTACCGGCGTGGGCAGAGTTGGGCCGCACGAACCAGGATCGTACAAGTTTGGACAGCATGCAATGACTTCGTGCGGGAGATTGACGCGGGTTGGCTGCTTCTGGCCAGGTGAGCTTTTGACTGCGGATCAGACAAACGGTCGTGAGTACCAACGGAAACTGCACGCCACATGAAACTTTTTCTCGAAGAACGAGCGAGGGGCAGAGACGAACGTGTCTGTACAGCCGGCAGCATCCCGTGTCGTTCCGGCTCTGCAGCAGTGGGCAACAGAGCAGAGAGAGGGAGAGAGTGTGGCCGCCCGTGTGCCGTTGCGTGCTCTCGTCTCTCTGTCCTATATTCCCGTGTGTCGCAACATACCACACGCTTCATCGTCTGCGGCACTCTCCGCTCAGCGGACAACGGGCCGTCGGTTGCTCCACAACGCCAGGAGGCAAACGGATAGCAGCACGGACGACCAGCACACGCGAGAGTCGACTCCAGTGCAACACCCCCACCTGCCCGCCGTGAAGCCAGCCCCGGCTCCCCAGGCTCTTGCCCTGCTCCTTGGTCCTCCCCTGCGTTGCAGGATAAGCAAGCGCCCGCCGTTTAACACAACACGGGAATCGTCCTGGTGGTGGCGCACCAGCAAAACCACTTTTTCCAGCAGCGAGCAGCCACTCCGCCTTTTACCCCGAATTCGACACTCACTACCCCCCCCCCCCTTTCCCGTCGCAGCTCGTTGGGTTCAAGGATTGAGTTTTGCGTTGCTCTGTCGTTGACTCTGCTCCGCTGCCCGCTGCCCCGGCATGTTTTTTTTTTTCTTTGGCTCCCCGCCTGACCGCCCCCCTGTCTTCTTGCCGACGCGTGCCCCCCCGCGCCGTATGCATATGTACGAGCCGCGCCTGCTTTCCCGTGCGAGGACGTGCATTGGCCGAGCTCGATGTGCCATCTTGTTCTGCTTTGGCATCATCGGCGGTGCCAAGCGGCTGACGGACATCGCACACGATGGTAGCGTCTGGAGCCAGGAGATGTCGGCAGGGGTCCGCGCTCTTAAAGGCGTGCCTGGTCAGCTCTCTGCTGGCTGTTGAGCCGACGGTTGCAGACGAAGCGGCAGGTGAGAGTGTTCCCCACGACAGCAGCGGTAATAAGCAGCATTCTACAGCAGTAGTCTACCTCTGCCGGTGTAACCAGGGGGGTAGAGGCCATCGAAGCACGATTATTTGAAGTCTCTTTCGAGTGCCGTGGCTAGTACCAACGTCTAGCACCGGGGTTGATCAGCCGGCAGCAGGCCTCGTCGCATTGCATGTACTATTGTAGCAGCAAGTACAGGACCTTCAATGGTAGACTAGTCGTCGGTACAAATTACATTTCCATCCTCCCGGATGTACACACAGAATACCCGCTCTCCGCTCTGCTTGTGCCCCTTTGCCGGAGAGGCGCTTCACGTTCCAGCGGTACCACACCTTTTTGTCTCTCTTTTGTCCTGCCTGACTCCTGTCGCAGGCCTCGAGCCGAGCATGCTCTCTCCTCTCGCGCAGCTCACGTTGATCGACGCACAAGTGGAGCGGGACGACATACACTATTTCCAGGTCCGGCTACAATGCATAGCGTACTTGAAGTACGTTTAACTGTAGTCAACTTGTAGACCGTAGATACGATGGTTGTCTATGTACAGCAGTGGTAGATAGTCTAGAGGACCCATGTAGGCTACCCACCACTGCTGTATAGGTGTAGCACCAGTGCCAGAACCGGACCACAACTTGGCTGCTGTATGCTGTTTTAGCACATCAGTGCAAGGAGCAGCTGAAGGAGGACAATTCCACACAGACAGGTAAACTGTTTTGTGGGCACTCCAGGGTCTTGATGACAGCAGTCTCCACGAAGTCGTTTGCACGTCTTTGTCAGGATCGTCGCGGAAGGCGATGCGCCGAAGCAAGCCGCGCGTGCCCTGCAGCTGGGTACGAAGTGTGATGAAGCCTACATGGACACACCGCGTATGAGTGCTACCACCGCGATAACCACCTCCCTTTCAGAATGCGGTGGTGCTTGGTGTGAATACCTTCCCCCCGCGCGAATTGCCCTCGTGGTCCATGTAGGTGCTTACCGAGGCCTGGCAGAGCACGCGTGTGAGGGTGTCGATCGAGGACTGCACCCCCCGCACCGCCGTCATCGCAGCCTTCGGGGCGGAGCCCACCCCTTCCCGCCACGAGCTCCTGGCGCACGCCATGCCGGACCTCGCCGGGAACGGGACGTGCGGCGTGGACGTCATCACTCGACCGTCTTACTCCAGAGACGGCGTTTGGTGCGCGCTGTGTACATACCTGCCTGCTTTTTGTTTGGTACAGCAGTAGTTCGTGTTTCAGCTCGCAAGAAGTTGCAGAAGTTACAGCTGCAGGCACGCACAGAAGCGGAAGCCGTCAGCCAAATATAGTAGAGTAGTACATCGTAGCGTTTGTGCAATTTCGCCGCCATTGTGCACGGTATGCACGGAGCAGCACTGTATTCGTCCACGTACCGCAGAACGACACTGGGTTATACAGTTTTCTCTCAGCCTCTGTTGCGCATCCCTCCCCCTTTGTTGTCCTTGTTGGCGGGGCAACCGTAACACAGGCACTTCGCCGTGGTGGGAGGGTCACCGCTACGCGGGGATAGGTATTTTGCCGGGCCTCCAGATACCTTGGCATTCCAAGCAGCCGTCATTGCCGACGTGAGTATTCTTTAAAAAGCTCGACCTCTATTGTGTAGGTACGGTTTGACCGTGTTTACTTGCTGCGCAATTCTTATCTACACTGCTGCATAATTGTGCTCCAGACCGCATGGCTGATGAGTACGCCCAGCGCGCACGGTGGCGCCGTGCTTTGGCGTGACCCTTTTTTTGCTTGGCGTATACATTTGGCTTCTCCCCGTAATTCCGCACATATAGATCCCGGCCCGCTCACTCGCAGCTGCTGCTGCCGCTGTGTGTCATTCCTCCATGTCGTCCTATTTTTTGTTCTGCGTGCTCGTCCGCCCAGAGCGCTGTATACCCCACTCTAGACCGGGGTGTAGCAGCTTCGGGCGACTGCCTGCGGAAGGTCGCCGTACCCCCCGTGGTTGTCCCGACAATCACGGGGCCCCCGGGATCGTCCGTCTCCAGACGAGGCGGCGGCGGTGGTCAGGGGTCTCGCGGGAGCTTCTTGCCCACATTGGGCAGGTTTCCTGCGGGTGAGTGTGTGTGTGTGTGTGTGTGTGTGTGTGTGTGTTGCATTTCCTCTTCGGCGGCGGCTGGCGCAAAATGGGACACCGGCTAGAGGAGTGCCCTAGCATTTTCTTCTGATGTCCCATAGAAGATACGTCAAATACAGCGGTGTGCACAACGTCTTCGGCCCGTTCGCGCACTCGCTGTCCTCGCGCTTCGTTTTTCTCGCTCTCTTGTGTACTTGATAATTGCCTAGGCTTTGACCTCCACTCACCCTTCCTGAGGCACGAAATAGAAAGTTTGTGTGTGTGTGCCATGTCCGCAAGGCTGGTCTTGTTGATTTCACCTTCCAAGGGCTGCTTTACCAACAGCGAAGAGGGCGCTTCCCTTGCACTAGTAAGCACTATCGCCGCACCGACCTTCTGGACTAACGAGCAGAAGGTTCCGCGTGAGGAATCATAATAATTGTCGCCAACATTGGAGAGGAGATTCTTCGTCGCTGCGCTCGAGGTGCTGTTTCGCGTGAACACTACGGCGACAACCCATCCGTTTTCCGTTCCACATCCGTCCCCCCCACGCTTGGTTCATACCTACATTTATGTCACGACCCCTTCGTCGTGACACACGGAAGGGGGCGCCGCGGAGAAGACCGAGGGGAAGGACAGGGGGGGGGGCGACGGCGAGGAGGAGGACGCACGGCACGCCGCCGCCGCCACGGCCCTCCTTCTCTCGCCCTCGTGGCTGGGCGCTTTCACGTTGTCTGCCTACGACGAGTCCGTCACCATTCCCTTCGAAGTCGCCGCTATCGTCGACGGGGGTAGCGAGGCTGACGGTGGCGGCGGCGCCGTCAGGAGGGGAGGGGGGGGGACAGGACAGGGTCTAGTCGGAAGGGCGCTAGGGGCGAACGGAACGGCGGATGTGAAGTTGCTGACGACCGACTACGGGGGGAGGCGGCGGCAGCAGCAGCAGCAGCAGCAGCAGCAGCAGCAGCAGCAGCAGCAGCAGCCTGCGGACCAAGGCCACCGACGGCGGCGGCAGCAGCGACGACGTTTGACGGAACGGGCGGCGGGGTATGGCCAGGGAAAAGGCAGGGCAGCCGGAGATCAATCGGGTGCGGGGGATGGTGGTGAAGAAAAGGAGGAGACACACCAGGGACGGGAGGAGGAGCGGAGTCTGGACAACGACGATGGCGGGTGTGAGGTGACGGTCTGCGCGGCGGCCGCGAGGATCGTGTTGGGCATCGGAGAACAGGACGACGATGGAGACGCGGAGGTACCGCAGGAGGACTCCTCCGTCGGGGGGCAGCAGCGCGTTTGCCGATCGGTAGTCGTCGGGGGACAAGGGGCCGCCGTTAGCGGGACGCTGGACCTCCCGGACAGACCGCAGGTGACCCGGGTTGCTTCGTCTTGTGTACGTCGAGTTTCACTTCTGCCTGTCTAGGAGATCACCCCTTTTTTATTTTCCTGTACCTTATACAAGCTCTGTTTGTTGCGAACTGAAAGTATTGTGTTGCGTTCTGTTCGGCGGCGGTGTTCGTGGTGATTGTGTTAATGGTGCCGACGGTCGATCTGCGCAAGAGATCGGCTTCAAGCACCACGGTCGTACATTCTAATTGGAGCGGGTTGCACCGATGCCTATCTTGTCGAGTCTTGCCGCCCAATCGACGCGATTTGCGTGGTCTTCCGCCCGAATTTTACATGTCGCATCTCTGGCGCTGCCTACAAACCCCGCCCCCCCCCCTGCGCGCCCCCCCCC